TATATAAACAAGGCATATGAACAGGCGACACACACACGCATGTGTAGATCTGTATATATATATATATATATATAAATATATATATATATATATATACATATAGATATGATTATATATAGACACTTATAAATATAGAATATATATATATATAAATATAGAATATATATAAATATAAATATAGAATATATATATATATATATTTCATACCCCCAGCTGGCAATCCCACAGCGCGTGCGATGTTATTATCCGGTGGGCCTGTTTCGGCCGACGACCACATGGCCAGCCACCAATCAGCCATGATGTAGGTAGCTCGTTCCATAAATAGGCAGAACAACAGCACACTGAACGTCCACATTCCTCCGGCATTCCTAATATAGCTACGGTACACAGACCACCCCACAGCACCAGTCGCCCGCTCTTCCTTGGTCATGAACACAGTGCTCTTCTTGCCCAGAGCATTGCTTGCGGGTTTTGCGGTTGCGGTTTTTGCGGTAGCATCGTCCAGCCCTGAGGCTGTCGATGTGGTGTCAACGATGGTGTCGTCCAGGGCATACGCTGTGCGTTCGAGGAGTTTTAGGATTTGAGCGGTTGTAGGGTTTGAGCGGCTCATACGTTTACACCTGTTCGTGTAGACTCACGTATACGTGCACAGGCCAACGGCCCCAACTGGAAACAAAAGGGCAAACGCAACACCGACATACGCACACGTGCAGATACATTTACACATCTGTACGTGTGCGTATATCTGTACACACCTTATCATACCTTATCACACATCGTCATACACACCTTCTCGCTTCTCGCCTGTTTCCTGGTCACTTTTGAGGATCGCCCCCACCACAGCTGATGTTTGGGCGTCGGTGTTGGTCATTGTCATGAGTGTATCGTAGCTCCCCTGGTAGAGTATCCTGCCATTGTCCAATACGACTATGCGGTCACACAAGGAAAGGTATTGCACCTGGGTGTAGTGGCCAATTAGCGAGGAATGAAAACCATATAATCCTAAAAACCCTAGGTAAAATATTTTTGAGCGTGTCGTAGCTCCTCTAGTATCCCAGCATTGAACATCGATTTGTAAGTCCATCTGGTTCACATACATGGCTAAATCCAACAGGTAACAAGTCGTATACTCAGTGCTATATATATAGGCCAATCAGAACACGGCATACCGCATGGGTCACCAGCACCCGTGCATTCCGACTGAGCAGACCGTCACTCCCCAACAGCTGATCAAACACCTGTCTCCCGGTCTGTAAGGTGTGATATGGTGAATGTCAGTGTGTATGTTGTATATAGTTTAAGAATATTCTAAAAAGCACCTGCACACGTAGTGCTGATCG